TTTCAGCTACTCTAACACGGCATTACTGGCAAGGCCTGCTTGAAAATGGATGACAGAAAGAATAGCTGCAAGTGGAGGGGAGCAAGTCTTTAAAGCACTCAGCAGCCATGTTAGACCCACCCCAAGGTGGTGTTGCCAATTGCCACCACATAGAAACTTGGTCTTAAGAGTTTTAAGAGGTGGTGAAATTACTATAAATGTTAAAAGTCCCATTAAAAGTCTAAACAAGAACACAAAGGCTGCTGTTATTTTCTAATACGTGTTGACTTTGGGTGGCTATCACTGTCGAGACAGCCGCCCTTTGCTGTCCCACAGGGTCAAATTCATAGCAATCTGCCTGCTCTTCAACAGGCTCACATGCCTTAAAGGAAACAGATGGCGAGGGGAGGGCGTGGAACACAGCAGCTTTATCTTATCAGGTTGCTGCCTGTTTAATGACCTTAAGCTAGTAACCAGTGGTCACATGATAACTGTGTGGTCTGGCGGTCTTCAAGGAGATGGTCATCCATTAAGTCTTTCCTTTCAGAGTCCCAACTGCCCCCTTTGTATGACTGTATAACAGGTTCTTCTTGTTGCAGTGTGGTGTGTGTGTGTTTGCCTGCCTGTCTGCCTGTCTCTCCATCCTCCTGTCTATCTGAGTAAAGTAAATCCTAATCGATTTCATAAACCTTCAGAAATATTTAACTGCTTCGATGGGATTGTGAGCACACTAAACTATTTTTAGATTTGTAGTCTACACATTGAAATCCTCATTTGAAGGGAAAATCAAACTTTACAGGTGGTCGAGGCTGAAGATCAGTCTGCTCATTTCAGAACCTTGTGTGATGGAGTGAGTCAGAAGGCATGGCGGCCACCCTAAGCCAGCGCTTTCCGAACTTAACAGAGCACAGCTTCTATCGTATGCCCAGAAACATGGTGGGAGAAATGAAATGGTGTTACATTTGATTTGGGCGGTTTTAGAGCCTATGTTTCAGGGAAGGCTCTGCTTTGTATGTGTTTCCCATTGTTTCCAGGCTATTTTGTGAGTTGTCCCCATTACAAAGAGCTGAAGCCTCTGCTCTTTCAGAGTGTATGCACTGCCCAGCAGAGTTCACACAGCCTGTGGAAAGCTGACCTAGTCACACTCCAGCCTGGCCACTGGTCTGCTCTGAACAGTCACTTTAAATAGCTACCACTTCCTACATCTGCCTCCTGATTTCTTTTTCTTCTTTTTTTTTTTTTTTTTTTTCTGATACCTTATTTGGTTTGTTTTCAAAAGCCGCTTTCCCTGGTTGCTTTTCCATAGAGATATTTCCATTGAGAAGCACTGGCTTCCCAAATGATCCACACCATGGGCACACTGCTGAGCAATTGCCTCAGGGTATCCGAGAATGCTCTGGCGTGGGTGATGCCCTATCAACAGTTCCATTGGGTCCTGAGCCATCTAAGAGGGAAATACTGAACTCAGAGCCAGTGGAAACCCGGTAATACATCTTATCATTTAGTAAAAAGTATATAGGGTATATGTGTGTATATGATATATATATATAGTGAAAACATATGTGTGTACCACTAGGACACAAATACCAGTACTTTTATATTGTTTGATATTTATAAGCCAGGAAATATTGTTGTGGTAATTCACAGATTTTTTTCACAATTTACAATGAAAACTTATTTTATATTTGTGCCAAGCATAATTTTCCTAACTTAATGTCTAAGTGTGGGATAGTACGATTCTGCTTTATGGAGCATCTTGATCCAGTTTCAAGCCGTGTGGCAGACTAAATGTTCACAGAAAACCTTTCCAACAGAGACCATGTAAAACACTGACTAAAACTGAAGAGAAAAAAATGTCTCAAGTTTGGTTGGGGCTGCTGGCAGAGATGGGACTTTTCCAGGTGCACAAGCAACAAGAACGGTGAGAAAATGAACAGAAATGGCAGTCAAAGAAAGCAGTGTGTGACAGGCGTGGGAGCGAAGGGAGACAGGGGCTGGGACTGGATGGGGAGGGAGAGCAGTCCGGAGAGACACAGGAAGCAGCCCCATTACCCAAAACTACATCCACCAGTGTCCATGAATGGAGAAGAAGGTTGAGATGAAGGGTTCTCCGGGGTATATACTTGCCTCTAGTTCAACTGATGAAGCAGGGAAAGATGGGAGATACGTCTCGAGAATCTATGACCACAGCTTTGTCTGTAACAAGTGCAAGGTAAGATCTCTAGTGTCTGTGTGACTTTTGATGTGCTCTCCTGTCAAAAGTATAAACAGTCATGGAAAGCTGTGTGTTTCCACTCATTTGAACTGTTTGGTGTTCATATTCATGGAGAGGGAAAGTAGAATGGCCCACACTCCAGTTTGGAGGAGAATGTGTCCTGAACTGGCTGCTTCAAATATTTAAGATGATAAATCCTGTGTTATGGTTATTCTATCATAATAAATGAAAAGTTAATATCTTTCCATTTAATTTAAAGTAGAATCAAGTAGACAGTGGCACCTAACTCCCTACCAGAAACAAGCAAGCAAACAACAACAGCAAACAAACAAACAAACAAAAAAACCCAGCAAGACCAAAAAAAGGTTCAAGAATAGATGTGCATATCTGCAGTCTAATGTTGGGAAGGCTGAGGTGGGAAGGTCTGGAATTCTTAGGTCAGCCTGAGCTACATAGTGAGACTTTCTCAAAAACAAACAATCAAATAAATAAATAAATACTCATACTTAAAGGAGAGGAGAAATAATTCACCTGTCATAATAATTTCCAAGGAATGTGACATATTGCTCACAGTAAAACATTCTATAACACATGGAAACATGTCCATCTAGAGTGCATCAATAGCAAACTCCATCAATAAAAAGACAATGAATTGTGCTTATCACTTACAGTATAAATATTGTGTGCCTAATTTTTTGGTGAGACGCTATCTTACTACGTAGCCCTACATGGCCCGGATCTTGTTATGTAGACCAGGCTGAAGATAAACACATGGAAAGCCCCTGCTTCTGCTAGGATTCAAGGTGCACATCACTCTATCTGGCTTTATGCTTTTTTTTTTTTTTTTACAAAAAACCACAAAAAATGTGTCGAAGGAAATACAAATTCTTAAATTTTATCACACAGATTTTAAAAGTAATGCGGTAGAAATTAATAAGAACACTTTACGTTAATATAAACAAAATACAGAAAGATTCTGCCAGGAAGATGATAGTAAATAGAAAGATAAAAGGAAGGAACCATAGCTCATAGATGAGAGAGGATAAACTATGAGAGAGATGATCAGTGACAGGAAGCACAGGTGGGGAGGTCCTGCAGACACTGGACTGAGCCATGGACAATACACATGAGATAATGGAGAGATAATGGAGGAACGTTTCAGAAGTAATGGAAGACACATCTTTAAACCAGGAATCTCAAGGACTTTTAAGTACACAATAAAAAAGAAAGCATTGAGTCAGGTCACAGCAAAAATGCAGAATACTGAAAACAATGGCCCTAAAAGAGTTTAGCAAACAAACAAATTAAAAAAAAGACCAAGTATTCCAAGGAAAACAGCTAGTTTTAGCTAATTTATCAATAACACTGTATGATGGTTGAAAGTGGAAGATCACAGAAGGGCTTAGGAAGGTACCTTGCAAATAGTCTCTATTAAAAATGATTGATCCTATCATATGATCCATAAACAATAACAGAATAAGGATATTTTCAGAAAACAAAAGTTAACATTACAACACAGACGTTTAGCAATGGAGGGATAGGTATGATCAAGATGTGTGATAGATAGGTATGAAATTTTCAAAGAAGAAATAAAATTATTTACAAAGAGAAAGAATTATAAATCTTGTGATCTAACACAGTTAATCTAAAGGATTATAATTTATCATTAGCAACATTGTTACATGTTTGTATATTAGCAATAGCCAAGCATGTAACAATTGTACAAACAGTTTGTTACATGTTTGTGGATTAAATGTTTGTGTATTAGCAGTTGTCAAGCAACTGTCAAGCCTGTAATAAGACATAGAGTTGTGTGGCACACTCTAAAATCACATGTTTGTGTTTTAGCCCTAGGAATCTCTTACAGTGGCCTCACTCGATAAAAGGGTTATATAGATATACTTAAGGATCTTTACATAAAGTCATTCTATTACATGGGTGGGTCGCAAATTCAATAGCTAATGTCCTTATAGATGAAAGAGAGACAGAGAAACTCAAGGCCATGGGAAGCAGAGGCAGAAACTAGCCATGCAGCCACAGGCTGAGGAACACTAATATTGTCAGACAATGGAATAAACAAGGTGAGGGTTCTCCCTACAGCTCTGAGACCCCACACTCTTGATAACACTTGGTTTTCAGACTTTCACCTTCAGAACCGTTAGGGAATAGACTTCTGTTGTTTTAAGTTGCTTGGTGTGTTCCAATTGTTATAGCAACCAGAAATACTAATATGCTACAATGGAGATACCTTATTTATCATTATTTTAATGATTTTAGTTTCCAAAATTCAGGTGTTGCAAACCAAAAACAAGTGGCAGAAACATAAGCACCTACATTTTTTGCTTCCTTTCAGGGTGAAATCATTTGTTTTCTCTGTATTTATATTTGTAGAGGCAGCCATGGCCCAATTGTTGGAAATACTCAACAAGTAGAGTTGGCTTGGCCATGGCGTAAGACAGAAAAATGGAGCAGATAGCAGTAGCTGTGCTGAAGAGCTCTGGAGGATTAAGAAAGTACCTTTATGAAACGTCTCGAATAGAATGCAGCACACAAGAGGGATAACTGCAGCACTCACTGATTGTGTTTTCTGCTCATTACAAGACTTTAAGTAGTGCCTTCCAGGAGCGGTGGGTCTACGGTGGTGGAGTGTGAGAAGTGCATGCTTGCAGCCCATGTCCAGTGCTCAGCCGGCCACTCACCTCCCTGTGTGCTTGGTATGACATGTCTCCCATCACCCGTGCTTTTCCCACTGATAACTTCCCAGCTGTACAGTAGTCTACCCCTGCTCACACAGTGACCCACTCACCTGTCCAGGTGGGACATGACTGTTTTGGAAATGTCTGCGCCTGCTTCCTGCAATATACGGATGATCTGAAATGGTGCACACGGGCTCCGTCCAGGATGGATGATTACAGGACAGCCAAGCTGAGCCTGGGCATGAGCTGTGGCCTGGAGTACCTTTCTCTCACTGTCAGTCAAAGGCCAGGAGCACCCAATCTCTCCAATGACTCCACACTTGATACAGGTTCCATCAGCTCCATGGAGAACTTCATTAATAAGGACATCTGTGAGCTAAAGAGGAAAGACAATGCGCTATTCTATAGATCGTAAAATACATCCAGACAGACTCATACTATTCAGAGGAATTTGTTTAGGAATTCATTCTTTTAAAACTGTGTTCAGAGCTAGGCAGGGAGGAGAGATCTTCACAACCATGAAGACCCAAGTTTCATCCCCAGAACTCACAGGAGAATGTTGGGTGTGGTGGTTTGTACCTGTGACTCCAGCACTTGGGAGACAGAGATACATGGATCCCAGGGCCTCCCTGGCCAGCTGGTCTGGCATAATATCAGCAATCAGGTTCCAGCCAAAGAGAGACCCTGTCTCAAAGGAGATGTACAGTTTTCCTAAGAGTGACACCTGAGGTCAATCCTGCAGCTGTCACACATGCCCCCTGCCATGCACCTGCACATGTGTATTAACTACACACACACACACACACACACACACACACACACACACACACACAAACACACACACACAACTCAACATTCATAATGGCTAACGAACACAGCATTGAATCTTCTGACTAACTGAAAATTCAACAAGTTTCTCTAAGTATCTTATTGAGATTGAGAAACTTATAGCTTAAAAATGCTGCAGGGACAAAGAGAAAGACTGTACGTTCAGATTGAAAAAAAAAAGATCTTTATTTTAATCTGGGAATAGTAGCTATGGATGCTATTGAATCCGTCAACTGTATCAGGTAATTCCTTAATCTCTCTCCTTCCTTCAGCCTAGAAAATTCACAACACAACACACAATATCTACATTACTTGCTCATATGTACAGTAAATAATTATTTACTTGTCATCTGACAAGTAAATAATTTTTATCATTAGCTCAGTCTTCCATTAATATAAATGTACATATTTAAAAGCTTATCGGAATATAATGCAGATGAAAATTTTAAAACGAGTCATTTTAATACTAACAGATATTTCACCGAGAGTTTACCTGACATCCTGTACCTGTTTATGGAAAACAGTTTATGGGAAATACATAGGAACACATACTATGTGAAAACACAGTTTATGGGAAACAGTTTATGGGAAATACATAGGAACACATACTATGTGAAAACAGTTTATGGGAAACAGTTTATGGGAAATACATAGGAACACATACTATGTGAAAATGCACGTAAACCGGCACACAGGTTTAACAGGAGAACACACATGTGTAACATGTGCCCTGCAACTTTTTTGTGTCCTTGAAAACTTTGCTTCCTCCTGCCCATTCTCACTTAATGATACAGACCTACCCCAACTCCATCCTGTCTTGTAATAAGAAAAGAAGCTGTATTTGCAAACGTCCCAAGTCTCTGTCTGCCACTTCTCTCCCTACTGTGAATTTTCATTGCTGGTGATTATAAAATCTGAGGGGAGAGCAGAAGCAGCTTATGATGGGGAAACGAGGTTTAGAAACAGACTGAAGCAGAACCACTGAGCTCTGATAGGTTTCGTAGAAACTAAGCATTAACACATCCAAATTGTCAGTGACCAGTGCATTGAGAGCTCCTCCCTCAAGGCTTGAAAGATGCAGAAGCTGACTAATCTGGGTCCCAGTCGGCAGCTGTCTTCGTGAGCTAGCTCTTTTGTTTTTGTCGTCTATCCAGCTACTTCTGAACCAATCCCATTTTAGGCTGTCCTGAATCTGAATACAACAAACAACATCATGATTTTACCTGCTCCACTGACATGGCCCTGGTCGCTGCAGAGTGCGTTGCATCAACATAAAAGCCAGCTCCAGCTATGATATGGACTCCAGTCTGCTCTGCCAGCCACTTCAGTGTGTGCAGGGACCTGCTGAGCCCAGTGGTCGTGTTCTCCACCAAGGCTCCTCCTCCCTGAGCCTTGAAATACAACAGTTCTTCCTTTATGGCTTCTACTTCCTGATTCAACTGGAGGTTTTCTCGATGAGAATAAGGATTCTGGTGAATCCAAAATAAATTTTTCATCGTGATGGGTTCCCTGGAGATAGCCTCGTGGCATGGAGGAGGTGGGAAGTAAAAATTGTCAAAGGTCATTGTCAAATGCTCATGGGTCAGCGTGCGTCCCAGTTTGCTTGGTTCGACAGGGCCCAAAACAGTTTGTACTTTCCCACTTAAGGAAGACATTCCTGAGAGTGTCACCGGGATTTGCTCTAAGGAGGGAAAAGGGAAAGGAAATTAGAAAATTTAATGCAAACATGCTGTCTGTCTGTAGAGGGCGGGGTTGGGAACATGCCTGTCTAGAGAATCAATGAAACTAGAGATATGACCTCATTTATCATCTGCCCCTAAGTGGGATGTGTGGCTAAGATGTCCCAAGTCACTTCCACAGGATCAATTTCAACCTTATTTATTGGGAAAATTTCTTCATATTCCATTCACATTTATATTTCACTTATTTCTGTCTCAGAGCTATGCTTTAACGATACTTCAAACAACCATTTAAAAATTCTTTTGCATAATTGATAACTTTCCATTTATGATTAAATGGAAGTCATGATTAAATATTATTTCATCACTTTTTACCCAAATACAGAGGCTTCTATTCATGGTGCTACAGATTTGCTACCGTAGTGCATGAACTTCTGTGAAAGGCCTGCCGTGTCAGAAGCACAACATGAGATCTCTAACCTGTATGGCTTCATAGAGGATGGCCCCAAAAATAACTGGAGGAAGAAGAAATGCGTAACCAGGTTTATTAACGTCAAAAGTAAGAAGAAACGAATCCTTTCACTTTCATGGGTTTATCATGTATTGCACACAGAAAGTGACCCTTCAATATACAAAAGCAAAACTTCATTGTAACAATGAAAGTGACGATAATGCTATCTGTGTTGCTTAGATGCTAAGTGTCGACATGATACAACCTAGAATCACTTGGGAAAGGAGTCTGAGCGAGGGAATGTCTGCCTGGGTTAGTCTGTGGGTAGATCTGTAGGGAGTTATCTTCATTACACTAACTGACACGGGAACACCCAACCTGTTACAGGTGGCACCATTCATCCCTAGGCAGGGGGCCCTGGACTCTCTCAGAGTGGAGAAACTGAGCATGCAACCGATGTTTGAGTCCGTTTCTCGTTTCTCTTGACCGTGGGTGATGTGACCAGCTGTCTCAGCTCCTGCCTCTGTGACGCTTTCGCGACAGATGAGAGAGAGCTAACATGAACCTCTCCTCCACAAGTTGCTCTGTGTCAGGGTGTTTTATCATAGCATCAGAAATGAACCTAGAACACTGTTGCAACAGAAAGCAGCCACTGTCTCTAAAAAGAGCAAAGACCTGTTTTAGCCCCTACATAGTTTCCTTTTGGGCACAGATTACGTATCTGCCCAAGTTCTCTCTGTGACAGCAAGGACTCCAGTTCAAGCACATCTGTGTTTAAAGTGCACCCCTGACAGAAGGGACTGAGGGAAGAAGATGACACTGAATGTGGTGAATAGACAACCCACAGCTGGCAGCTCTGGCGCTCTGCCAGAAATGAAGCTCCTTCCAGAGGACCAGAGAGACATGTTCTCAGGACTAGAAGGACGGAGAACCAAGTCGCTTTTAAAGCTTTCAAGTGTTTCTACTGCGAACATTCTAAACTTAGTTTCTCTCGTATCTTTGGAAGCCTTCTCTGTATGGGCAGGGGTAGCGCACAAATGTGAGCCTGTGCTTGTGGAGGCCAGAGGTCAACCTCACATGTCATTCTTCTGAAGCCGTTCACCAAAGTTGTTGGTGTTGTTTTGAGTTTTGTTGCTTTTTTTGTTGTTGTTGCTGTTTTGGTTTTGGTTTGGTTTGAGACAGAATCTTTCCCTGGGCTGGAGCTCACAGAGAAAACTAGCTAGCCAGCTGCAGGGCTCTACCTGTGACTAATCCTGACAATGGGATTACTAGTACCTACTAACGTACCTGGCTATTTGGTGTGGGTTCTGGAGATGGAACTCAGGTCTTCATGTCTACAAGGAAAGCACCTTACCAACTGAAACATCATCTTCTTTCATTCTATGATTATCTGAGCATCCTATTTCTCATAACTAAGTTAGAGAATACACATTGCATAGGAATCAACCTGAGCAGGAATGTGATAAAAATACTCTACATAAAAATAATGGTAAAAGCCAGACGTGGTAGTGCATGCTTGTAATCCCAGCACTCAGTGAAGCAGAGGCAGGCATATCTCTGTGAGTTCGAGGCCAGCCTGGTCTACAAAACAAATCCAGGACAGCCATGGCTACACAGAGAAATCCTGTCTCAGAAAATAAACAAACAAAATATGGAGGAAAGTGGCACACAGCCTCTAGTCAACAAAGAGTAGAATTACTTTGTACTTTGACTGGATCACTTCTTTTTGCAGAAGAAAGGCTGTGGGTCTGGATGGGGGAGGGAGATGAACTGAGAGTAGCTGGGGGAGGAGAACCGTAATCAATATATTCTATGAAAAATTATTTTTCAAAAACAGAAAAACAACTGTAAAAAAGTGCCTTGGAAAGCAAAAATATGTAATGGGCACAGTACAGAAAACAAAGTCAGAGGGCAGGGGAAAAGGCTACAAATTATAGGTCAGTTTTTATCCAGCCACTTCAGTAATGTTGAACTTGGATGTTTGGGATAATTTGCTGAGAGTCATAAATGACTGATTTATACTTTTCACAGAGAACTTCGGGGTTATGAGCAATGTGGCTACTGAGTTGCATTTGACAATGCTCTTGTGAAAGAGCCACACTTTCAACATTAGACTGTGTATCTCTACAGGCCATGAGGAACAAAATTGCTTCTGCTCAGAGGATCACCACACAATTGCCAGTGCCTGAACAGGCAGTCTTTTTCATTGATGATCTCTCTGTTCGGAAGAGAGGAGGTGCATTGAAGGTGGTATGGTTATAGACTGGAATGTACTATTTATTCTTTGCTACTAAAAATAAACAGTATGTAGTTACACCTTTGGCTGATGAGATCACAGTACCATTAATAATAGAGCCAGTCCTCCACATGGGTTCCTTTCCTGTTTCCTTCCTTTTGCCTGAGAGCATTACATGTGTAATGCTTTATTACCACATCTACTAGAAAAGTTCTAAGCTACACACTTAAATTGATGTGTATTTGAAAGAGTAACATGGTATGTTTCGAGCTTACAAACTGTGAGTCTTTGTGAAAAAAAGTATTTAAGAAATGTCATCCCCTCTGGGAGGTTCCTCTAATGCTCTCAACAGAAGAGCTGGCTGGCTCTTCTGTGATCACATACAATGTAACACACACCCAGAGGATGAGAAAAGATTAAGGAACAAAACGCTTTACGCGAGAATGCATCTTTGAATGCAGCAAGACACAGATGTAGAATTCCTGGTCCCAGTGTGGCTAGGGATCCCTTTTCTGCCTGTGTTCTGTCTGGAAGTCCCTCTCAGTACATGAGCAGAGGGCTCTCATGATCCTTCACCATAAGGACAAGTGCTTGCAAAGCCAGGGACGGCAAACAGAGGATGAGTGGCAGTGCACCTTTGTCCAGAGGCAAATGGCCACCAACAAAAAAAGGAGGCATCCAGCTTTCTCCAGAGCTTCCCACAGAAAGTTCTGCATTAGACACAACCTGCACTGAAAAAGGGCAGCTGGAGCTCTAAACACATTTGACAAAAGCTGTGTTCCACATCAGCTGTGAAATCTGAACCACATGTGAAAGGACAGCCTGCAATTACTATAATAGCCCAGCCAGAGAAAACAGCCTATGGTAGCCCATCTTCACATGGAGATCCAGAATCATGGAAATCACAGAAGGGACAGGCTTCCTTCCAGGCATGTGTCTGAAGGATCACCTAGATTAGGTTAAGTGAGGTTAGACCATGCCCAGTCATGGGCAGAAACATTCCATGGGCAAGGATACCAGGAGAAAACTAGCTGAGCTCCAGCATTCATTTCTTTCTGTTTCTCTACTGTGGGTGTAATATGACCATTTTGGGTGCTTCTGCCTTGATGGATGGTATCACTCCAACCCAAAATAAATCCTTCCTTCCTCAGATTGCTCTTGTCACATTCTTTGCCAAAGCAACAAGACAAATAATTAATACATAACCCTTTTTAAAAATGTGTTTCCGTTCTATGAGGCCAGGTCTACGCTAGCCTGAACTCCTGGTGATCCTCCTGCCTTGGACTCCCAAGTCCCAGAAATAGAGGTATGAGCCACTATGTCTGCCAACCCTTCTAGTCTCGCTGGGCCTAGAATAAAAAGAGAACACTGAATAAATAAATGAAAATAAGAGAGTAAGAGAATGGAACAATACTGCTGTGTGACACAGCTGAAAACTGGAGACAGTAAGTGGGACTTGGTTATTTACAAATATATGCATATATTAGTTTTTATAAGATATATAAAACATTTGTTTGATGACTGAAGATCTGATGGGGAGGAAGAAGTCTGGATAAGACTATGGTTTTCATTCAGTTTCCCAGGAGCCTTGACAGCTATTTTGGTCTGTTTACCTAAATTGAATATCCTTTGCAGTAACTCTGATGGCCAACTTATCAACTTAACTGGACTGCGACACTTAGGATATAGGTAAAATCACACAACTGGGTGTGTCTGAGAGAAAGTTTCCAGAGATTACTAGATTGCAATGGCTGACCCATTGAACACACTGATACCAAAATCACAGCATTTCAGGGAGTTGGTAGAGGCGGGGGCCAACATGGAAGAAATGGGTTACTAGAGGCCAAAGCTTATCCTGTCCCCTTCCCACAACGCTTTCTCTCCACTTCCAGGCCACAGTAAGATGAACAGTGTCCCCTTCCCTTTTCCCTCAGCCATGGTGATCCCCACTACCTTGGAGCCAAGTCAACAGTGCCCTGGACTATGTGGGCTGACCTCTCTGAAACAATGAATCACAAACAAATGCTTCCCCGTCCAGGTGATTTCTCTCATATTTTACCTCATTGGTGAGAGAATGAGTAACTGACAGAGTTGCCTCCACATTTCAGAGGAGAGAAGTCCTCTAGAAGTCTGGCTACTCTGTGACCAGGTGGGAACTCCTCAACTCACAGCCACTGCAGGCTGTCCGCATGGTGCTTTGCCCTGTTTCTGACACCAGGTTGCTAGCCCTACAGCAGATGGAAGCCATCAGTACTTCAGCTTAGATATAATGGTCACATTGGCAAGCTGACTTTTTTACTGAAATAATTTAAAAT